ACATAAGGGGCCACATCTGTCCCTGCTGTGTGGAAAAGAAGGCACTGTGAGCCACAGTCCTCTGCTCAAGAGCACACAAAATACTTGGTGCCAGGACTAAGAACTCAGGGCAGATTTCCTGCCTTTTGGAGCAGTTTATTGAGATAAAGGCATGCACTGTTTCTTCAGAAACAGTGGGGCTTCAGAGTGCATTGATGGCTGACAAGGCTCTGTTTATTTTGTTTCCTTAGATTCATTATGACATTGAAACCATTTGCAGACTCCTCAGTGTCTTCACATGGAAAAATCTTTGCCGTGTTACGGTGCGTAACTGGTTTTCTTCCTTTGTGTTCTGTTTTGAGACTTGATAGAGTGAAAGACCCACTACTTTAAGGGGTGAAGGAATGAGTTAAATGGGAGTTAAGGTTATGCCAGGAAAAAAAACAACAGTATGAAACCAGAATGAACTGAAACATCTCTAAAGCGAGCTGGGAGATCACAAGGGACCACACGTGGAAGGCACAGGCTTTAAAATTTGATCTGCTGGTAACCCAAGAGCACATCAGGGCTTTCACCTAAGGTGAAAGAATGTGATGTGGCTGCCCATGTTTGAGCTGTGTAACTGAAGCTGTAGCTGAACATAGTTGAGGCACTTCTGAGCAGGGGCTTACTCAGCCTTTGGCACTTTGGCAAGTCTGGGTGCCTCTTTCTGTGAGAGACCAGACATGGCCCTTCCTTGTTTCTTCCTTTCCTTGTGGTTTTTTTTCACAAAGTCTTTTTCTAAGAGGAGCAGAAGGAGAAATTTTGAGATTTCTTTTCAGTACAGCTGCTGAGGCATGCCTGCCTCCCTCCCAAAAGGCTGATGAGTGCTGAGCAGTCTGCAGAGAGCACCAACACTGACACCCGGGTGTGTTTCTGTTCACAGCATGCGCTGCCAGTCCATCCTGCACATGGCAATGTTTGGTTACAAAAAGGACACTGCAATGAGGTATTCCAGGCTCCTGAATGAGCACTTCAAGGTAGGGTACATGTATTAATAAGCTACCAGCTGGATGGCTGCAGTAGTTCCTTATGTCAGCAGAACAGTCCAAAACTAACAAGACTTTTGTTCCTTGCTGCAGAGTAATCTCAGAGTAATACAAGCACCTTCTCCAGATGTTGCAAGGTAAGATTTAAAAATGTTTATGCAGTCATGAGTCTGTGTTTTAATGACAATGAGTAAGAAAGGGCTTTTCTGTGTGCTGTGGTAATTGCATGTGGCAGCTACCAGGTTCCACATCTGTCTCTTTCAAACTCTGCAACTGAGAGAGGGTTGGTTGGTCTTTAGTAGTGATGCTGATTCCAGTTTTATTTTGTGGTGGAAGCCCTGTTGTACCAGTGACTAAAATTAGGTTGGTTGAAGTGGTGGGAGTGAAGGGATGTGATGATGCAGCCAGCCTGTGTCAGGAAGGCACAGGCTGACCACATTTAGCTTCCCTGGGTCTATAAATAAGTGTGTGTAGGCTGATCTGGCTGTTTTGAGTAGGTGTCGGAAAGCTCCAGTCTCTGTAGGTGGGGAGCTTCTGTATGTCTGAAATGGAAGGCATTAGCTGAAAAACACTTGGATAATCTGAAGACTTCCATGGGTAGGTGTAGCTTTTGGAAGGTGGAGGGAGGGCCTTTCTGATGCCTGGTCCAGCATGTTCTTCTGTTGAGAGGAGTCCTTAGAGTCACAAATCACTTCCAAAAACTTGGCCTTGCACTCAAAGGCCTTGTCCTGTAGCTGAACACATCTCACTTTTCAACATTCCACTCCACAGTGCAGGCCTGGATGACACCAGATTGCACACAGCATTGTGGAAAGACTTCTAACTCTGGAGTTAAACATTCATGATGGTGTTTCTTTTCTGCTGCAGAAGCACAGGCTTGCCTTCTCCTGTTTCTTCAATACCCTCTCCTGCTGGTTCTCTGAGTTCTCAGCCGGGATCAAATGCTAGCAACGGTGCTGGCCACAGCACCACTGGCAACAGCACTGGCTCTGCAGTCACTGTCTCCTGTCATATCTCAAGTGTCACCTCTTCCTACGTCAACATCACTTCCTATATCCTCCATGCATGTGAAATCTGGGAAAAGGCTGATGCACTGGCCAGAAAAAATAAGGGTAAGTTTTTACCCTTTGTCTTTTCTCTCTGGTGTGTTGTGGTTGTGTATGTGTACTTGCTTTACTCCTAACACTTGTGCAGCAAGCAGCACACCTAGAGATCAAAGCATTAAGCATGTTGAAATAGACAGCTATGACATATTGGCAGGTTCCTCGCAGAGATACTTGATGGTGCTATATTGATGAGTGTTCCAATTAAAAGGTTGTCTTGGCAGCCTCAAATGTCTAAGAGCTCAGGGCTGAGGGTATCAGGTGCAGGAAAGCAGCCAGCTCGCTTCATGGTATCACAGAAGCATAAGGGTTTGTTCCTCTCTGTTTTTCCTTTTGTGGTACTGAGCTTTTCTGACTTGAAACACTTTGTTTAAAAACATCTTTTTGGCCTGCAGCCTTGTGTTTTAATTTGTTTTGTCAAACTTCCAGGTCATTTTGTCTCGAAAACAGTGAAGCTGGCTTCTCTGCCTAGCAGAGAACCTGAGCAGCACTTGAATTTGAGTCCTTGCTGGGCACATGCCCAGTATTTGCCAGTGGCAATTCCCAGAATTGCTGCTACTTTCTTTACTTTACAGTTTTGCTGGTAAAAAGGTTGTGCTGTCCTGTGGTGCAAGCAGTGGTGAATGTGCCAAAGCTGCAGGGAGGGAGCAGTTCAGCCTGGAACCTGCCATCCCACATGGCCTTTGCAGTGTCATTTTCCACAAAACACAAAGTTGTGTGAGCTCCTGTGGGCACACGGATGCATTGCCATGGTCTGTTGGCAAACTTGCCAAAGCAAAGCAACAGGATGTGCCTGGCTGAGCTGTTGGAAGGCTGTAGAAATCCTCAGACTAATGAGGCAGTTGCTGAAATGCAAAAGGCTTTGCAAGTCCCCTTTGAATCAAGTAACTCCCTAGTGCTTGGCTGTCCTCTGAGCTCACAGCAGCAGCTCATGTGTAGTATTTTGGATTCTGTCCTCAAAAGGCTGATAAAATACTGTCACATAGCAGTGGTGGATGCTGCTAGTAAGTCAGAGGAGTGAGTCATGGAGGAAATTGTGTGGGACTGCAGCCTGAGCACAATCTTGCTTCAATCAAGGCTGAATTCAAAACTTGGTCTGTGTGGTTGGTTCCAATGTGGGGGAATGATGACTAGGGTAGTAAATACTCCTAAGGGACTGGATCTGTGCAGGAGACCAGTAAACGCTCATGTAGGCTTGGTACTCTGAAAGTACTTGTTCCAGTACTTTCAGAACTAGAACTTGTTGATGTTCAGTATAAATACAGCTGTGAAGAGGTACAGAGAGTGAGAACACAACACACAAAAAAGAAGGCCACATCCTTGATTCTTTTATGCAATTCATGAGGCATAAGAAGAGGAGGAAAGAGCAGGAGCATTCAGCTATCAAGACACTTTAAACAGGGAAGTCCTAAATTAGTGGAAAGCAGTTAGTTGTAACTGATGTCCAAGTCACTCGTGCAGAGCTGAAGTGCTTTCTGACAGGTCCACAGCCAGGACCTGACTCCTTGCTGTAACTCAGAGCAGCACTGTGGACCATCAGGGTGTGGACCAACAGGTTGTTTTCTGGCTGCTGATCTCCCCCAGTAAGCACAAGCTGAGGCTGCAGGCATGGATGTGAAGTCCCTCTGCTTTCACACAGTGCTGTGGTCACAGATCAGGTTATCTTCTGCTTGTTTGGACAGAGGCTTTGGGGTCCTTGTCTCTACTTACAGCCCTTCTGTTCCCTGTGGAGGGCATGGATAGCCATTGTGTAAACAACAGTAGGAGAACAAGGGAAATCTATTCTCTGCTTCTGAATTGGCAAGTATGAGAATGAAGGTGTTGTGCACTCTGTTTCTGAAGGGTTCCTTGCGTAGCCAAGCAGAAATTTTTCACCACCAGGTTGAATTTTTGTGTGTAAAAAATCAGAACTGAGAACAGCCAGGTATTTGGCAACGTGTTTGAGGCTGGAGAGACTGAGGGCCTGGGATGAGCTTGTGTCACTGGAAGGCAGGTCATGCAGGAATGTCTTGGAAGGGTGACTGTAAAGGAATAGGTGTGAGAAGTTTCCGTAACTCATGGTCACCTGCACAGATGATTTGCCAGCACAGAGCAGGGCCTACAGCCTGCTGGCACCTTATGGAGGTTCAGATGTGCTGCAGGAGCTGTCTCCTGCCTGGACAGGAGGAGGAACATGATGCCTGGAGCTAGTGGCAGGATAGCAAGACTGTGAGATCTGCCTGATGTGCTCAGCTATAAGCAGTCCAAATCAGAGCTGTAGAGCCTGGCAAGCTACACAAATTGTTAAACCTGTTCAGTTGAGAAGTCACAATGTCTCCAAGGTTTGAGGATGGATGAAGTGACCAGTCTGACAACAGCTGTGTGTGCTTCTGGGCTTCACTCAGGAGAACACTCACATTGGGCCTGTTTAAAATCTGGGGAAAGCTTGAAGCAGGGACTGTGGTGTGAGCACTCAAACCTTTGCCCATCTACCACGGAGTCTTGAAGTCGTTTACAACCAGTGCTTGAGGAGCAGGTCAGTGTGTGAATGCTTGTGCCAGTGCTCTGCCTGCTGCTCCTGCTACCCTTCCCAGCCCTCTAACACTGCTGAGCTGTCTGTCTGCATTAACACTGTTCCACAGGACTTGCCAACTGACCTTGTGCTGTTGCTCCGTGCTGCCTTCACCTGTCAGACGTCCCTGTTGTATGAAACCAACCAAATGTTTTCTCTCTCCTTTTTTTTTTTCTTTTTTTTCTCTCCAGATTTTTTTGCTGAACTCAGCAGAGCAACGTGTGCTCTGGCACTGACCAGTAGCCTGACTGACCTGGTACACTACATCAGACAGGGATTACAGTGGCTGAGACTGGAAGCAAATATGCCTTAACTGGTTCTCCAGGTGGTTAAATACCTTGAAGTTTTTTGCACTTTTGAAGCCCTCAGAAACAGTTTTATTTTTTTTTAAATTCTTCAGTACAAAGTACCTGCAAGGGAAAATATTTTAAATAAAGTTGGAAGTTACCTGGTTACACTGAAAAAACCTTTGAACTGTGTTTTTTTTTTTTAGGGCAGTGCTTTACTGCCTTGAAAAAGAAGAGATGGAGGATGGCACCTTCCTTTAAAACGACGAAGTGCAATGAATTGTCTGAATGGCCCAATGTACTGATGGTCTATAAACATTTCTATTAGGAATAACCAGCAGGACAATGATCACACATGATGCCAACAAGAACGAAATCTGCCTCCAGAGATGGTTGTGCAACATCCCACAGTCTGCAGCAGTTGTGTGCCCAGAAAACAAGCCAGAGGAGTTGTGTTTGCAAGCAAGGATGCAATCTTTGGTGTCTTTGTTCGTCAAAGAGCAAGTAGCAACCTCATCAGCACCAAACACCATTATGTGAGAGTAACAACAGCAAAAGGATCTGCTTTGCCTGCTGTCCAACCTCACCCTCTTGTTTGGGTCAGCCAGCTGATGGAGTTGGGGAACACACTGCCTTCAGTGCTGCAAGTGCTCTAAGTCAACGCTGCTTTGGTCCTTCCTGCTGTGCCCTTGTGCACATCCATGCCTTTGGCACTCGAATTGTGTTCCTGAGGGTTTTGCTCAGTTTCAGCCTTGTAAGCCACAAGTTGGGGTGGCAAAATGACAAGGTGTGGTTGGGAACAGCTCTGCCTCTCTGCTGCTCACTGACAGTGAGGATTCCTTGTTGGGCTGCTTTTTGTCATTTTGGTGGGTGAGGGTGGAAAGCTGTTCTGGGTCACTGTGATTGCTTGGAGAGTTTCCATGGGATGGAGTCACTTCTGGTTAAGGAGGGACTAAGTGGCTGAATGAGGAACACAAGACAAATTTTGCACTTGAATATTTCCCTGCAATCATTGGTGGTTTCAGTGAGTATCTAAGAGCAGATTTGGTACCAAAGTAGAGAGTCCTTCATGTGGGAGAGAACTTGTGCTCTTTCTCAGCCACTAGAGAATGGGCCCAGTGACTTAGAAATCTGTCAGGGGAACACGAAAGGAAATAATTAGCAGTTTGCAATCATTTTTCCTTGTCAGAGTAACCGTGAAGGCAGCATCTGTGGCATTTGTGTGCTCAGTAAGACAACTCCCTTCTGTACCCAAAGAGTTCCTGTCGTGTGACTGCAATGTCCTGCCGTCCTCATATCCAACAGTGTGCCTTAGCCCTCTGCTCCCCTCTCACATCCCTCACCTGATCTCTGACAGACCCCTAGGAGTGGTGAAGAGAAAGATAGTGTCCCAAAAATGTGTTTATGAGAAAGAATCATATTCCTTTTCCACATAATTTCACAATGGAGGAACAGGTCTGCACACTTGTAGAAGTGCCCCCTTTGTAAAATACTTGCTCACATGGTTTTGAGGCTCATGAAAATGGACAGTAAATAAGTATCAGCAAAAGGTCTGCGTTTCCAAAAGTAGTTTCTGTAGAAATGGTCCCTGCTACAGGTAAGCTGGAGTCATCTTGGCTCTAGGAGGAGGTGGCAGGAGCATGCTGCAGCTCTGTCCACATCCCAGGCACAAAGGAGCTCTCTTCTCACCTCCCCTGGCAGCACAGGACCACTGGGAGCATGGCTGAATCTTCCTGCACCTTCATGGGACTGTCCTTTTGTGTTCACTTTATTAAAAGCCTTAGTGCATTTCAGGGATGAGATGTCCTAATGAGTGGAAGGAAGGTCCATGTCTCCCCTCCCCATTTTACCTATCAAACTTTGCTTGTGCTCCCCAGCTCTGGAGCAGGGACAGAGAGAGGCTCAGCATTAACTGTTTTGTTCTCAGGAAGAATGGGGATGGTCAGCCAGACTAAAGGCTGATGTGCACTTTGGAGTTGGATCCCAGACTAGTGGATCAATGCCTTCTTCTGACTTTGTCTTCAGACAAAGCTATTTTTAGGATCACCAGCTGAGGAGGAGGGAGGGGGGAAGAAAGCTTTATTGAACCTGAAAACAGCTGTAGGAGCCTGCAAGAACCATGGCAGGGTACTAAGGGTAAGCATAAGGTGAAGCAGGGATTCAGGTCTCCTGGTACTTTCATTTTGTGTGCACCCATGTCCCTCCCTGCTGCCAGGCCAGGTTCCCATTGGAGAACCACTGGCTCACAGCTTGCCCTCTGCCAGGAGAGTGCTGTGCCATGCCCCAGCATGTGCAGTATGTGCAGCAGCCCTTGTCCTGCATCCAGCTCAGCACAGCCTGCAGTGCACCCAGTCTGTCCTGGCCTGCCCTTTGGGCACTTTGCTGCCCAGATAGTGGTTATCTGTTGCTCTGCTCCTTGCAAAGGTCATGTAGGGGTATTGGGTGAACACAAAGTCAGTAAGAAGATGCCCAGAGAGAGCCAGTGAACTCCTGACTACTGCTTCTTGGCAGCTGGGCAAAGGCAGTATGTGCTCTGCTGCTGTGCTTGCAGTTGTGCAAAGGCTGCTCCCATTCCAAGGGCAAACTCCCCTGGGCTTTGGGAGAAATGAGATCATGGGCAGTTCATGTCACAGGCAGGTGAGGCCTCTCACTTTAAAGTGATGTGTGGAAGCATCAGTGCCAAGCTCTGTAGCAGGAAGCTATGTTTTGTCTCAGGACACGGAGAGACTGTTAAAATAATAGGAAATTTTCTAAAAGCCATCGTATTTCAACCTTGAGCCAGGTCAGAGGCCTGCAAAGGGTTAGGAAAGATGCTCGTTGTTTTCATTTGGGCCTATTCAGGCCTTTAAAAAACAAACAGACAAAATAAATATGAACATAAACCAAAACATAACAGTGGAGGAAACAGCATTTGCCATTAAGAATCAAACCATTACTCTAAGGAAAAATGGGTGATGGTTGAGTCCCAGAAGGAAAGGAGGCAGCTATGGTGGCAAAGCATCATCATTTCCATGCAATATTTATTTAAAAGAAATAATAATACATGTGTTGAAACTGTCAAATGTTCTATTTTTAAGATGCCATTTATTTAATAGCTGGAATCCCCACTTACATGGAGATAAGAGATCTCTTGTGTAACTGAAAGTCGAAGTCTGACTGCAATGTCCTTGTTTTTGGTTTTGTCCTTTCCCCTTTCTCTTGGTTCCCATGACAAATCTGTACATCTTAAGCTTATTTTGGGGATGTATGCCCCTCCTGTATATAACTTTTTTCTTGCCCAGTGTCTGATGGAGTTTCTGAGATGGTTGATGGTTGATTCATTGATATGGGGAAATAAACAATAAATGAATGTTTGTTATGAGATGTTGCAAGAGTTCTTGTGTTCTCAGCTTCTTGTAGAGAAATTGTAGTTTGCCTTACTCTCTGAATGAGAGAAAAATGTTTCCCTTCCCAAAGGGGTTTAGCTATGAATTTCTGTACAAGGAAGCCTCTTGTTTCCATTGCTACCCTGTGATATCATCCCTTGCCGTTCCCTTAAAGACCAAACATGGGTGCAGATCTCAGAGTGGCAGGAGGGTCATGACTCAGGATATCTGCCTCCTATCCCCCCAAAACCAATTCAGGGAAGACTGTGCTGGGGCCAGCCCCTGATGGCCAGCAGAGCCTGTCTTGGAGGACTCACTCACAGGATGATCCCATGAGTTTGTTTCAGGCAGTCAAACAAGTTAAATAAAGCCAGGAGACAAGGAGCAGCAGAGTTGACTGGAGTGCAGTGCTCTGTATTTGTCACAGAGGTGCTGCAGGGCTCAGTGCTGGGAGAAGAGTCTGCTCAGGTCTTGTTCCTGGATTCATTTCTGAAGGGTTGGAAGGAGGATTTCCCTCAGGGAATCCCACGGGATTTCATGCCTTGAGTAGCTGTGTGTCTTGCTGGTTGTACAACAGGATCTCTTTGCCATGGCATTACACTTGCTGTTTGAGGCTGGTGTTGAGCAATGTAACTATAACCTTGGAAGAATGATTTTTTATTTTTTTCCCACTCACCATTTCCTTCCCCCTTGCACCCCAAAGTGCATGTTTCCCAGACTCCTTGCTTGGGGCAAAAGCAAGGAGTGTTAGTTGGGAGTGGGATGGTAGATGGGGAGCGAAAGGAGGGATGCGGAGCCAGGAGGTGTGACATGCCAGCAGGGAGGTTATCCAGAAGCCACAGGGAGAAGGGGGAGCAGGAGGCAGTGAGGCTGTAGCTAGTGTTGACCTCCTGGCTTGGCTTTCTGCATGCAGCAGTAGCCCCCTCTGGGCTAACACAGCCAAAAATATTTTGAGCTTGTTTTCCAATAGTATTTTGTTATTATTTGTTTATTTGCTGAGCCTTTGTTGCTCCAACCTAATTTTTGCAACTGCATTTAATTTGTTTGGAGATGTGTTATTGATTATAGATGAGTTTGCATTCTCTCTTTGGCTTGGCTTACCCTTTTCAAAGAGAAATGTCATTTTTGGCAAAACAGCTGCACTGAAGTCGATCGTAGTTTCTCAGCCCTGTGCTCCTCTCCAAATACTAAAATAGCCCCTTGGCAGCTTGTGCTTTCTTTATATTAATTGCACTTTCAGTAACCCCTGTCACTACTGGAAACCAACAGTGTTCCTGGGCATTTCTGAATGTGTCTCCATGAACTTTGTGTTCCTGAAACAAGGCCTTGTGCATGTTACACAGTGTATGCTCACTGCTGCTTTGTGATGTGCTTTGCCAAGGTACAGAGTTCCCAGAGTCCTCACTGGGTTTTTATCCTCTGCTACTCAGTATTGCTGGGGTTAAGGTTTTCTTTGGGTCCAGTGTTTCGTATCATAGCACTACAGCCATTCTGTGCACTGTCAAAGGCCTTTGCAAAACTTGAGGATTGCTCAGTGAAATCTTGATTTTACTGCTGGCCTTGAAGAAATACTTGTAAGTGGAAAAAAGTTGTTCATATTTTCTTTTTTTCAGTTTCCAAGTATTAAAATGTACCTGATTTTCACTTGTTACGTGTGGGGT